CCGTGTTTGTCATAAACGTAATTAATTCAAAATAAAATAATTTTGTTCTTGTTTGGTTTAAATGCAATTAAATTGGTAATATTGAGTGAAATCAAAATAACTTATTTTCTCTTAAAGTTACAATATTTTTTCTCATGCACAAAGTTTTAGATCGGAGTAAAACCAGCAATCAGAAACTTTCAAAAATGGGGAAAAATTTAGATACTCATGAACAGAAAAAGTTAGAAATTTCATGTTCTCTTTTGCTTGAAGAAATTCGCTACAAGGAGAGAGCTCACAAAGGACCGACATATTAACAATGAGAAATGCTATTCCTGTAGCATTTGTTTTAAAACCTTTAATCGTATAAAGAATTTTTAACCAGCATATCAAGTGACATTCATCTGATAGATCTCATTATAGCACTGTTTGTGAAAAATGTTTGAAAACCAGAGAAGAGGTGAAAAAACATTCAGGTATTCACCTCGACCAAAAGAAATTTCCCTGTGATATCTATAGTTTTAGCTGCTGACAAACTTGCAGATCATTATCATATGCATTCTTTTTCATGTGATATTTGCAGTCATGGAAATTTGAAAAGGAACTTGCTTTCTTCCACAAATGATACAACCACATCTGATGTCTTATCACCTTAAATAAAAATATCAAATGGAAGTGAAAGGAAACACAATAACCAACATGTAAAAAACTCAACTTTTTGCACTGTATGTGATAAAAACAAAACAAATACCTATCGTAAACGACACTACTTGGTTCATGCGAGAGTAAAATCATTTCCTTGTGGTGAAGCGTTTCGTTTAAAAATATACGTAAAAGCTCGTTCTCTTTGACATTTGAATAAAAAAACTGATTCGTGTAGTAAGTTTCTATCGAACATCTGAACTTAAGAGCCACAAAAGTGATTATTGATGAAAAGCCATACTCATGTGATCTGTGTTTTATGAGATTTAGTAAAAACCATTATCTTAAAATTTATTATGTTCATATAGGAAAAAAACCTCATTCTTGTAATATTTGTCCTCGGAGGTTTGCAAAAGGTAGCAATCTAAAAAGGTAACAGCAATTATCACTCAAGTGAAAAACCTTTTGTTTTTTAAATTTGTTGTAAAAGTTTTTATTAAAACATATATTTACCTTCAGATTCAGAAAAACAAATTATGCATGCAATATTTGTGACAAAATATAGGTAACATCAATTAAAAATACATTTCCATCATTTTCATGAAAAAAAGTATGTCAATGGTCAGCTCTCTCAAATAGAATGCTAGACTTGTTTACAGCATCAAAGAATAATTACTTGTCGTCAACAGTTAAAAAAGTCTGTACAAATTTATTTTATGTTTCAAATTTGTTGTAAAAATTAGTTACTTGTGAAACATTTTGAATAAAAATTTCTCCATAAAAATAAAAGATAATTTTGTAATGAAATGAAAATAAATTTGTTTATACAAGAATATATTTAATCTGTAATTTTTTTATTACTTAACATGCTTGTTTCTTTAATATGCTTGTAAATCTTTGTTGAATTTGTACATTTCATTATAGTTTAACCCTTTTAATATTTTTTTTAAAGCTTTTCCTAATTGCTTTTATTTTTTATTGTATTGAACATAATATCTATAATTACATGTCTCTTAAATTGTAGCTTTAAGTCTCAATTAAGTTTCAGTATCTTTATGTAAGCACTTAGCTCTGATTATAGAGCTAATAGGCAGCACTTGGGCTGGTACTCCACTCTACTAGCTTCTATAGGTACTACAACTAATGAAAGTACTTTAAGCTGCAACAGTTTTAATGTGCTTGCTGCATACATGTCTGCTACTAGGATCAAACTCATGACTCCTTGCTCTCCCAAAGCAGTGTAAGCACAACCTTAACTGACGGCAGCGCTTAATGCCATTATAAGATGAAATTAGAGCAGAATGTTAATAGTTAAGCAGTTATATTAAAATTCTCTGAAATTAGATTTTCAAATTTAAAAAAATTTTTAAGGATGTTTTTAACTAGGGTTTATTTTAAGTCAGCAAAATTGTTTTTGGATTTATTTTTAAAAATATTACAAAGAAAATTTATTTACTTAAGTTTGTTAAATAAAAAGTAAAAATTCAATGTTTTTAAGAGCTCTTTTTGGATTGTTTTTATTTGTTTTGTATTGATGTAAAATATTACACTTTTCATTACAGGCGTTTCGTTTTAAGTATAAAAATTCTTCTCTGGATTCATCTCCATATGTTATCTCAGACTGTCACAGAAACGTTTGCTGGGTTCAACTAGGAAAATTGCATTAAAATATTTTAAGAAATTTGAATAGATATATTTTTTTAAAAATATTTATGTATGCCTACAGAAACTTTAAAAAACTATTTCAATAATTCAACACCATAAAATTAACAGTTATTGGCATTTTTAATTACATGCAAATTAATAAAACTCATGCTTTTTTAAAATTCTTAGTTATTCTTTTTTAAAATTCTTTATTTAAAAAAGTTGTATGGTTACTATAATAAATGGATGATCTATTTGGTAATGGTATCAATGAAAACTACAAAAAATAAACAACTACAAGAAGTTGTCATTTTACTTATGGAAAGTGATACTACCTTACTTTCTTTCGCGATTTAAGAATATCCTTTTTATAGATCTGAGTAATTTTTAACTACTGTAAGTGATAAAGCTTAAATAATTTAAATATTGAAGTAGTAGTTCATCATTACAAAAAAGTTAATTTCATTGGTTAAATTCTTTCTACAATATCTTGATAATCAGCAGTTACCATTAAGTTCTTTAGTCGAAGTAGTAAGGAAATTAAAAAACAATTCTGTGCCAAAGAGTTACCACCTTGGGTTGCATAACTTTGTGATACCTAACTTATTCCTTAAAAGTCAACTAAAGCACATTGAATTTTAGCAAATTTCTGATTTATATATTAGAGACAAAAAAGCATAAAAATATCTCTAAAAATTTATAATTTGTAGTTTTTAAGAAGTTTTTTTAGGAGGAAATGAAAATCCTAAGTATTAAATTTATTTATAGTTATGAGCAATTTTATTATTATCATGCATATCATTATTATTAGTTCAATGATATTATGAATTTTATCATTTATATCAATCATATTACTACTTTATTTAAAATCAATAGCAATCAAATTATTAGAAATTTCGTTTAGAAGCGAGATCTTTTTATTTATTTGATTTCTTTGGTATATCAGGTAGTTCTGGGATGTCCAATATTTTGCCTTTTTTTTAATTTTTTATCATGATATGGAAATATCATGATACAGAAGAATGTATATTGAAAAAAAAAAAAACATTCTAGAAAGGAACCAACTTTTATGGTATAATCTCATCATCCCTGGGTAAACCTCAACATATTTTCTAAAAACTTTTTATACATTCCTTTGCCATATTGGTTATTGTAGTTGGTCTGAACAGATACCAATATGGAAATATCCTCTTTTGTTACATTATTTTGTAATGATTGTTTGTAAAATTTACCATTTAATCAAATGTTAAGGAGATCATTAAAAATTACATAATTATGGCTTAGTGTCATATTAAGTTAATTTGTGGTAGGAATAACTATAAATTTCCCTGAATAAATCATTAAGATTCAAGGTAAAGTAAGTTTACACATATCATGATCAATAACTAATATGATTTATCTTTGTTTTAGACTTAAAAATTTAAAATTCAACTTAAAAATTTAAAGGAAAAAATTATCTTAATAATAGGGAATATTTAAGTATTCTGATCTATGGAAAAAATAATTTCCATGTCTTGGGAACTTCTGGGAAGTGCTGGATTAAGCGTACGCGGGGCCCTAGGTCATTAAAATTTTTGGGGCCCTTAGATTAAATTTTTTTTCTTGTATATTTTTTATTTATTCAAATATAAAAGTATTTATATATATTTTCATTTAAGGAAGCATATTTAAAATAAAAAATTAAATTTTACTTTATTTTGTTAAATTAGAACAAAAAAATAATCATAACATATATATTTGAAATTGATTTAAAAAAAAAAATCATTGTTTTTCCTAATTGTTTAAAATTTATTTTCAAAAAATCCATTTTAAGGGGGCCCAGGCCATGACCTAGTCTGGCCTAATTGGTAATCCGGCACTGCTTTTGGGCAGTGGCCCACAAAACTAAAAAAAAAAAAAAATCACAGAAGGGGACTAACTCGTAGCTACCCTCTATATCTTTTTTAAATTGCAAGAGTAAAATCCATTTGGTACCTTGACAATTGTAGCTGGCACCAGAGATCACAATACAAAAATATCTTCCATTTGCTTTAGCATAATATGAATACATTTCAAATCATTCATCTGTGTTCATTTCATTATTCCATTTCTTAATGACTGCATTAATTTCCTTAAAACAGATAACTCATGTTAGAAGAACATGCAATTTTTCAATCATATAAAAAGGAATACATGGTAAAAACAATTTAGAATTTTTATGATGATCATAGTAATCCCAGGTATAAAATGCTTCTTATAACATAAGTAAATTATAATATGTTTTTAAATTTGTGCTTTTCTTTATTTCAGTTTTTGTTAAATTATAATTTTATAAAGATAATTCTTAAAGAAAGACACAAAGAAAAAAAAAGTGACATTTATGGGCTGGTTAACGCGACAGAACGCTCTAAAGAAATCTGTGATGTTTATTATTATTATTTTTTTTTAGTTTCTCGAAGACTACTGCCCATATTTGACGATTATTTTGATGTAAATACCGATAAGGAAATGTTCCCGCTATCCATTTTAGATATTTCAGAATATTTATAAGTTAAAGTCATCTCTACACGTTTATTTCTTCTTTTAGACTTTGTTGTAGTAAGAACGATTTTTTCCCCAGTTTATATCAACAAGTGTCATCTATTTATAACAGCAGCAGTAGCATTATTCATTGCTCGATTCACAGTTTTGATAATTCTAGTACGTTTCCTGCTGTCTACTTTTGCACACTTTTATAATATAGCTCGAAAAAGTTGAGTACGTTGTCGTTCTTAAATGGTCGAAAAGGTGTAAGTTACAGCAGCTACAAATGAACTTATTAAACTAAAACGTTACACATTCTTGATGTGCATGTTTGTTAAAAACATCAAGGAAGAAGAGCAACACCCGATTACCACTTGCTCAAGTTGTTTGGATTTAGTTTGACAGGTTGTGTTATTGAAATATTTATTAAACGTTAATATTTTCATTTATTTCGACATCGCCATCAGCTATGGCTATAAAAGTTTATGTATCTGGTATTTCCGGAAATCATGAGGTATGAATTTGTTTTGAATTCTTTTTTTTTAAATAATCCTTGTTGAATTTCAAATTCTAATCTGATGCAATGTTTAGTAATATAAAATTATTCTCTTACATTTTGCACTCATAGATAGGTAATATTTTACATTTCAATTGCTTCCTTTGTAATTTCTAGTGGTATTTGAGTATGTGTATCCCTTTTATTCACCGATATATAGGTAAACATAATTATATCATATTTAATCATCGAATGAAAATGAATAGACTTTCAAACTGGAATGAATCATGTTAGGCATGAGTTCCTACGATAAAACATGAGAAGATTCAGATCGGTATCTACGGCAAGAAAGTAAAGAAAAAGAAAAAAATATCACTAAAGAGAGCCAACTAGAGAGGTATAACGTGTCTACCCCCAGGCATAGGCAAATGTTAAAGTTTTGCAAGTTAAAAGAACTATTTGACGAAGTGGCGTAGATATGGGTGACGAATTGGAATTTGCGGCGAATGGGCGCAAACAGGTACTGATACAGAATCTCCCCCCCCCTTGGGAGAATCACAAAAGAAAAAAGAAAACGAGAACTATTTTTCAACTGGTTTTTAATTAAACTGATTGCGAGGAATATATTGACCAAACTGCATACAATTTTCTAATTATTTTTTTTATTAGCATTTTTTTCATTTTGATAATTACGAACTATTTCCCTTTAATAGTTACACACTATTATTAATAGTTAACAATAAATTAAAAATATTTTAATAATAATTCATCTATCTAGCTTTTTATTTACTGTTTGTAAAGATTTATGTTATTTAAATTGATTTATTTTTTTAAAAAAAAATTATTTAAATAAATCAATACAAAATTATTTAAGCTCAACAAAATAGTTTTTAGTAAGTATTTTTAATTTTTTTTTGAAATTATATGACTACATACTACAGTCAAACCTGTCAAGTTAACCACCTGCTTAGGACTCTATTATAAAGAACTGTGACACCCGGTGGCTGAGCGGTAGCGCTTCGCGCTGTTGTGCCACAGGTCCCTGGTTCGATCCTCAGGCCGGGCAGGGTTGACTCAACCTTTCATCCCTTCAGTTGGTTGATAAATGAGTACCATGCATGCTTGGGAACTAAACAATGGGGGTTCGGCTGACCACCTGACCTCAACATCTGCTCTAGCACCCCAGAGCCCAAAGTCAAGAAAACTGAGATGGCCACAGTAGGCCTTGGCCCTCTATGGGCTGTCATGCCACTGAGTTTAGTTATAAAGAACTGTAATTATCCTGAATAAAAAAAGTTTTTTTTTAAAGTGAACCTTTGAAATTTGATTGCATGGTTATACTGTACATGTATTATTATTTTTTTCTTTTTTTGTCGTATGCCTGTTTAGGCAGTGGGGGTGCGATTGTTCCTGTTTTTCAGTGGCGCCATCTATGGCCAGGAATTTGACTTCTGCCGCGCCATTCACACAAGCACAATTTGTTTATAGGGCGGGTCACATTCATACCCAAAGGAGAAAGGCTATAGAACACACACACAGAGAGAGAAACATCCATACCTTGCCCGGGATTCAAACCCAGGACCTTTGTGATGCAAGGACAGTTCCCTGCCCCTACACAGACTGGTTGGCTACTGTACATGTTGATTACTGGAATAAGTCAAATACATCTAGGAATGCTATTGAATTTTATCTCTAAGCCATTCATAAGTTGCCACATTTTTCTAAAGAAATTATTTTTTAGGAAATTTTCTCTTATGTTACATAAAAAAATTTCACTAAATTGGTGAAATTGTATTAAAGTAAATCTTTTTGCAAGTTGACCATAAGGGAAAATTGTAGAGTGCTTTAGTAACAAATAGGTTTATCAGGATGTATAACTAAATACATTTTAAAATGTTGAAGTTGAATATTTAAAGTTTTCTTAATTACAGATAAGGTTATACATACTGATATTTTAAGAAATTATTAATAACAAATACCTAACATACCTAATCAACACTTAACATTCATTATGATTATGATAATCCTTTTTTTTTAAAGATTAATGGGATATTTGATAAATAAAATCTTTAAGTTATAATTAAAAATTTAATTACATGTAATATAATTTTTATTACATGTAATATAACTTTCATTACACATAATGGAAATTTAATTATATATATTTTATTTTGTTTGATCACTTATAAGATTTACATGATATGAGTAATGATATATCACCTAATCCGCCCTATAAGTTTAATACCAAAGCAATGTACTGCAAGTAGTAAACTTATACTTTCCGTACTTATTTATTTCATTACTAACTAGTATCTTTTCTTAGTTTTGAGAATGCACTGAAAAGATTGAAAAATAATACTACTTGAGCAGAAAGGTTTATTTTACTTTCATTTTTTAACTTAAAATTTTCTCAGATTGGCAAAAAATAGAATTTTGAAAACAGCACTTGAAATGAACAGTAGAGTGTGTTGGTCTGTAACCACTTTAAATTTGTCTTAGACCACTAAAAAATAATTATATGTGGACTCCTACCTAGACCAGCAGACAACATAAAGAGATGGTTTTGTTAATATTTTTTTTAAAATTTTCAATTGTGTTTTTAGGTCTGTTTTGTCTTCACAAAATAGTAGTGGCCACCAATAAGTTAAGTGGTCTGTGGACATGAGATAAACTTTCCTTCTTGCCCTTTAACGTATGAAGGAATCAATGAAAATGTGTACAGAATGGCAATAAATTTTAGTCTCTGACCTGTGAACCAGTGACTACATTTTCTTAATTTCAATCCCTTTAAAAGAGAAATAATATCTATTTCAATTTATTAAATTAAATATACAGCTTAATCTTGATATCTCTGACTTGAAAGAAGTAAAGAAAAAATTAAAATCATATTGAATTTTCAAATTATAAGAAAATCACTTATTTTAATAAAATTAACACTATGAACATGAAATTATTACTTAAAAGATTCTGCTGTTTGCTTAGAAGAGAATATCACTTTATCAATTATACCTTCTTAGAGTAGTCTAGCATTTCATTAATTAAATGATCTCAGACATGTTTTGCTGAATTTCTATACAATTTTTTAAAGTAACCGCAGCAAATAATACTTCTCTTTTAATGATATTCAGAAGCAAATCTCAGGCTTTTAAAAATAATACAGTGGAAAGTTCTGTGTTCGGAATTGTAGAGTGGGTGCTCGGTAAGTCCGAAAAATTTCTGGGTTATCGGTTTTTAAGATAAATAAGCATCATAATGTGCATTATTCAATAAAAAGATGACAAATAAACAATAATTGGATAATTAACCTCAATTTCATACAACTCTATTTTCTTTTAGGTTAAAGAAATAATATATGAACTCTCTTTTATGAATATCTATTTCTCTTCTTTTTTTCCCCCCATTTGTGTGAAAAACTTGCTGGATAGATAAAAGTAACATTATAAAAAAGCTTTACGTTCCAAAACAAAATTTATCCAATTTAATAAAATGAGCATGGTATAAAGCAAGGAACAGAAGAATTGAGTAAATTTTGTTATCAAAAACATTTATAATTTAAAGGGAAGCTAAGCTGATTTGCTCCTGTTTGTTTCAAACATTATTAATGTTCAGCTTCATTAATATTCATAATGAATGCTTTTCATCCAAATTTGTTTTTCTTAGCACATCTTTTCAACAACTATTTTAGTTTGTTTATTAAAGCAGAATAAATATTTAGGTATGGAACAGCAACAAGAAGAAAGAAATTTTTTTATTAATCTCTTTTTTAAGATCACACATGTAAAAAAAGATTTTTTTTTGAAAAAAGAATTGTTTGTTTTGTTATTAAAAAAGTGTCCAGAAAACTACTTATACTGTATTTAAAAAAAAATTAATTACTTTCTTAGGTGATTAATAGAAATCTAGTTTTCGTTGTATTGTTCACAGTAATTTAGGTTTCATTTTTAATAATGTTTTTACATAGTTATCCCAGAATATTTTGGATATATATATTTTTATATTTCAGAAATATTATGAATTTATTATATTATATGTATTTTCAGATAAGAAAACAGCAACAAAGAGTTTTGTTCATCTTATCCTCCTTGAAAATAGATTTTGAAGTAATTGATATTACAGAAATTGGGAAAGAAAATGATCGAGAATTCATGAGGACTCAGTGCAAACTTCATGACAAATCTAATGCCTTACCTCCTCAAATTTTCAATGAAGATGTTTATTGCGGAGTAAATTATTATGATTATTTATTTTTATTAAATTATTTGTACCTTTATTTGTTGTACAAAATGATTTTTTAAAGTGTCTTTTTTAAAATGCTCATAGTTTTTCTATTGATAATAATTTACCTCTAAAAGCATCTGTTAAATTCAGGGCATCCGCACACCTGAAAAGTCATGAATTTCGGTATTGAACAAAATTAGTCATAAAATGTCACGATTTTAACTATTTTTTAAAAAAAAGTCTGGATTTAGGTCGCCAAATTGGTCTAATTTTTAAAATGGAATCCTCCCCCCCCCCAATGTCATGGTGTTCCGAATATCTGAATTTCTATGAAAATCCCCACTCACAGTCATATTTTATTAAAATATAAAATGTTTTTATCATGTTTTTTCAAAAAATGAGGGAAAAAACATTATTTCTAGAATGAATTATCTTTTAAACTTCCGTGATTTCAAAATTTTTGTTTATTTTTTTATTTTATCAATTTAAAATTCTAACTAAAGCAAGCCAGTGATTGGCGAATTTTTTTATTCCGAAATTAGAACAGAAAAATCTGGAGTATTTCTTTCCTTTCCGATGAACGAGAAAAGAATCTTTGGAATATAATTCTGCTGAAAAAAATTTTTTTTGCTTTTTTTCCCAGCTATTTTATTGTTTCAACTCTTTTTTTACTCTGTTTTTTAAATTTAAAATCTATAAATATGAAGATGCAGAGTATAAAAGTTTTGGTTATACCTATCATTTCAATGAATGTTATTATATTGCTTTTCAAATTTATTGTTCTGTTTTTGTCGGGAGAGAATAGTAACTTCGTTAGGTCATGAAAAGTTCTTGGAATTAGTCATGGACAGTCATGAATTTGAAAACCTAAAATGTAGCAGATACCCTGTAAATTGTAAACTATAACATAAATTTTTTTATATATATTTGAAAGTATAAATTAATTTTGTAAATTCTTCCTCGGTAAATTGATGGTTTTGAGTGACAATTATGACTAAAATATGTTTAGCTGCAAGGGTTCAAAATATGCCAGAGAGAAACTCAAGCCTGGTAGCACTGGGGAAATTTTATTCCTTAGGTCTTACTAACTAACTGTTCAAAGAGAAAAGGAATTTTTTCTGTTGTGTTAAATATGAAGCAAGTCAGTTTGAAGTCTTTAAATTTATAAGTGGGACATGAATTTGATTTTATAAATTATTTCTTTTTCAATAATGGATTTGTATTTCGATTTCTGTTATTTATAACATATACGTTAGTTTTCATGGATCGTGTGAAGTAGAATTAATTATTGTTAAAGAAAAATTGCTATTAGGAAGTTTTGACAAAATACCAATATTATTTTCTAAAAATATTGCAACTACAGTGAAACCTCTCGGAAACGACCACTCTCTATTTCACAGTAAATGGTTGTTGATGTAGTTTGGTCATTCTTAAGAGTGACCTCCATTGACTTCAAAATGTTATCAAAGGTGCAGGATTTTTTTCAAGCCATTTTAATTTTAGTGTGATTTTCTTGGTGCGGAAATTACACTTTTGTTTTCGTTGTGAAAACAAGATCGGTGAATACATTTTAGTGTCAATAAAAATGGTCCCTACTGATATGATTATGTGTATTAACATATTTACCAAATATGAAAGATGGAAGAAATAAATAATTGATATTTGAAATAAATAAACAATCATGTATTTTAAATCTGCATTTAATTTTATATCATAAAAATTTGTTAACTTTAATGCTTGTTTATATGTGATGTTTAGTTTTTTTCTAAAATAACTTTTTTTTTCCAATTTAACTTTCAACTCAAAAAATAAATCTTTGTTAGCATCATCTTTAGTGCACTCTAGCTGCATCATAAAGTTTTAAATCTCTTTTTTAAGATCTTCAAATAAAGCTCTCTAAGTAAGAGCCTCACAGAAATATTTTGAATGCATTTTAATCTATTTATTTGTTTAGTTAATATTTTTGTTTTGATATTTTTCCGGGTTTCCTTAGTTAGTTTCTTCCGCCTTTTTTGTGAAGGATTGCCCGGTTGCTAAGAGAGGTTTTGATGGTTCCTTTTAAGGGTTTTCTTCAATACGAAGTTTATGGAAGAAATTTTGTGCCTTCCAAAAGTAGTCGTAAATAGAGAATGCGGTTACTTAGAGGTTGTCTGTCTTGGAGGTTTCACAGTAAAAAAAAAAAGCATTATGCTTTTTGGGGAAATTTCATACTCAAAAACGTATGGGCTCTGTAAATATTAGGTCTTGAGGATTCTCTGCACAAATGGCAAAATGCTTTTGATGATGATTTTGAATTGTTTTATGTATATATATATATATGAGTTGAAGAATTATTTTATAGGTACTTACGTATTTTGTCATTAATTATATTATTTTTTAAATAGGATTTCGAAGATTTTGAAGCTGCCAATGAAGATGATCGGCTTAAACAATTCTTAAAGCTTACCAGTGAAACTCCACAATTGGAAGATATCGCTAATCAAGTAGATATTATTTTGTGCTAGTTATTTATTTATCCTTAAAAAGTGTTTATTATGTTCTTATTTACATATTATTTAATGCAAAATTGATAATAATTTTTTCCCTTTGTAAAAAGCTTGGACAAAAATATTCACAGGGTGGCCACCCGCCTGGAAAACCTTGAAAACCTGGAATTTTCAGGGAATTTTTTTCTATACTGGAAAAAACCTGGAAAAATCCAGGAATTTTAAAGAAAAGCTGGAAATTTTTTTAATTTCACTCATTTAAATTATTTACTAATTTTCTTAATTTAAATTATTTCATCCATTATACCCACTTTTTTTAGACGGAAATGTATCTCCAAGCGGTTGAAATATCATCAATTTTGCAATACTTTGCTTGCAGCAAAATTTGCTCCATCTCAGCTCTGTTAAGCTGGAATGCCACATAAAATTCTCCCACTGTTGCTAAACGAATGTGGAAACCTTTGCCAGCTATGGACTGTGCAATTTAGGAAAGATTGTGGTGGAGGTGGAAGAAGGGATTAGGATATTAGCTTCTGCTTTTAAATTCTGTCCTAGAGCTGAATCCATTTATGGCTTAAGTTTGTTCCAATGCTTCCGTGGTAATTTTTTTCCATTTTGACAAAATGTTTTTGTATTTTTAACTTTATAAAATTCTCCAAAAATTAGTTGGTTATAATTTAATAATAATAATAGATTTTATATTGCACTCTTTTTCTGAAAGTTTTTGTATTCCCATTAAAAGAAATCTGTAAATTATTTTTTCTCAGCAAACCAACCAATCACACATTTTCTTTTACAATCGCTAACAGCTATGTTTGTCGACAAATTGTTACAATTGTTGCATTAATGCTAATTTTTTCTATTTCATTTTAACCTTATATAACATATTTTAATTTTAAAAAAAGTTTTTTTTTAAGAACTAACTATATACTAATATTTAATTTTACTCTTTTGTTGGTCAATATATGATTTTTGATTCAAAATTTTGTACCAAAGCATAAAAAAATCTTGCCAAATTGTCAAAATAAATTATTTTTTTCAAGATATGCTAAAAAAATTAGCATTTTGAATAAAATATTTTATAATATAGACACTTTTCTTGTACCCACATCCTACACTTTATTAGAATAAAGAAACTAAAACCTAGAAATTTTAAGATTTTTATCTGGAAAACCTGGAAAAATCAGGGAAATTTGAAATGTGATTTGAGTGGTCACCCTGATTCAGCATTAAATATGTGTAAAAGACCTTTTATTGCTTTCTTTGCTTAATTCATCTTGTTAAAAGAGTTATAAAAAAGAGACTTTTTTAACCATATAATTTTCATGCTTGTATTAATACCAAATTATTAAAGCATTTTGGTTTAGTGGTGGTAGGTAAAATTTTCAAGATTATACCCAGTACTTGAACAAATTTCCCGCAATATTTTGTATCACAAACAATTAAGCATTTCTCTTACATCCCAATCAAAAATGTATAACAGACTTTAAAGTATTTCTGTTTCATATAGGAAATAATCAAAAATTATATTACTTATAATTTGTGATTGTATTTATATACTGTTTATGCACTCTATCTCATTTCTAATGTATCAAGTGGGTAAGAGATAATTATATTAAAGTAAATAGTAAATAATTTATTGTATAAAAGAAAAATACATAAACTGTGCTGACATAGATTTCTGTACATCACTGATGTCTGTTTACACTCCATCTCATTTTTAATGTATCAAGAGGGTAAAGGATAACTAATATTTAAGTAAATAATAGATTTTATAAGAAAGAGGAAAAACATGATTGGGATTTTTTATTTTTTTTACCTGTTGATTATGGTTCATAGGCATGACATAGAGTATAACTAATACCTTTTGATTTTTTTTTTTTTTGGCAAACCCCATGTAGATATATTTCTTTTTTAAAACTGTCTGGTCATTTTAAAACATTTGGTCAGAAACTTATAGTATAGACACATGGCTTGCATAGTCTATATTATATGTTGCAGTATTTTATCAACTGTTGTCATGCTATAGTCATGTGGCTTCAATTGGTTGTGCAATTCATAGTGTGAGAGAAAAAGGAAGTACACGCTGGGATAGCCTGGTTGGTAGGGCACTGGACCCAAGTACAAGAGGTTGTGGGTTCGATCCCTGCTGGCCAAAGTGTAAATGGTGGCTTGCCCTGTGTAGTAAATGGTGACTGATGCACATTAAATTTGTCGAGTCTCATAGTCTTCTATGTTCCCATAACAGATCAATACCTCTGGGAGTACTGAATTGGAGATTGATCGTTTTCTGATTCAGGTCAAAATTACGATCTGTGGATGAATGAATGGGTCTGCCCTATAAACGGTGTGACGTATGGGTGTGGCTAAAGTCGAATTCTTGGCCATAGATGGCGCCGTTTGAAAACAAGAACAATCGCACCCCCTCTGCCTTAATGGCACTCGTCAACAACAATACATTATTTATTTTCTCTGCTCATTTAATTTTTGAACAAATTAACTTGAAGGTGTGTTGTAAAAAGTTTTCATAATGGAATTTTCTGAAACAGCAAGATTCTTTCTTTCTATCTGTTTCTATGAATTGATTTTCCCCAATGAAAGTTCCTTAGTTAATCTAATTATAACAGTTGTTTTGTGTAAATTTTTTTTTATATTATGTCAGCCATTTCTTAAAATGTTTCTCATTTTACACAGGATCTCATTAAATCAGAGCTCGCAATGAATAAGTTTGGCTGTGGGAATATATTTGGAATTTTTTTTAATGAATTGCTTTTTTTTGGAACTATAAAAATGTTTATATTAAAAGGGCATTATGTTTCAAACCACAGCTTTTTCTCAAATTAATGTTTGTATTATGTGACCTTAGACACTTGCTAATAAGTTCATTTAGCACCAATGTGTTTATGTTTTATATTTATGTGAAGTTTGTTTTAAAAATGAAGTTTTTATAGTAAAAATATTCAAAATAGACTAGACTTCATATATTAATGCATTCCATCTTTTTTTAGATGTTGAGCAATGTTGAAACAGGAGAAAGTGAGGCTCTTAAAGGTAAAACTTATATTATTTTTGTAACATTATTTTAATAAGTGTACTAATACTAGCTAATTGGTGCTGTTTTACTATGTTTATCTTACTATGTTCTTTACAATGTTACTTCTTTACTATGATACTTCTTTACTTTACTTCTTTACTAATATATCATGATACCTACTATACTGGTAAAATAGGTTTTTGCAGCATACCAAATGGGATTTATCCCATTTGGTATGCTGCAAAACACAGCATCAACAATCAACACAGCATCAACAATCAACAATTTTCAGCATCAGAATCAACAATTTTCTCCGGTGTTTACACCGGAGAAAATTGTTGATTCTGATTATTTTTTTACTGTCAGGAGTTGGTCTTGGGCATAGATTCTCAACCTTTTTAACGTTGCCGCCCCCTTAATAAGCAAAAAACATATCAACGCCCCCCTTTGTGATAATCCAGTTATTTAGAGCATGAGGACGGGGGGGGTGTGCTGANTGCTGAATTATAAGATGCACTTTTAGGCAATTTTTTAAGCGTTAAATTTGCATGTTTTTTTCTTTAAAAAATTTTATGTTTACGCTAACTGTATAATTTTCTCCCGGCAGGTAATTGCAGTCTATTTTTCATAATAAAAATAAATACGGTAATGAAAAAAAAAGTTCAACGAAGAAAACTACGCTTAAAAAGAGTAACTTGTTCTTAATTAGATAATTAAAAAAAACACCCAAAAATAAAAGTAGTATTAACGAAACAATCAAGTTACTATGTCAGTGGAATGATTGTACTTGATGGTTCATAGCCAATTTCTTAATGTTCGGTTAAATATTTTTACTGAGGTGAAGACGCAAGTCCCCTCGTTGCATGATTTCGAGTCCATTTCTCTTTTTTGTGACTTGATCCATAACAGCACTGAATCCACGTTCGACGAATAGGAGAAAGGGAAGGAAATTAAAAATAATTTTGAAAATAAGAATGAATTTTGACAAAAGAATTTTGACAGTCCAGAGTAGAGACGACTGATGTTACCTTAAAGCCAAAATTCTGTGAGTTATCACCATTTCAAAGCTTCATTAGTTGAAAGTTTGCCCGATTCCTCCTGAATCTGAACCTCTTCTGTTTCAACATTCAAAAAAGGGTTAATAACCCATTGAAGGAAACAGAACAAAACACATTTATAACGGTCAGAAAAGTCCATGTGCAAAGAGTCAAGGTGTTAACTATATTCTTGTGTATCATCAGAGGAAATTTCGCCATTCTTTGCAAGATACGATAAGATTTGAAATTGGTTGAACTCATTCCTACCAAATTTCTGCTTCCAAAAAATAAGTTTTTTTTAGAAATGTAGAAATAATTGATTTCGTAGGGATCAACTTGAGTTTGTCACCTTGAAGTTGCAAATTAACGCCATTAAATTTTGCAAATAAATCCACCAACGTCTATCTTAAATTCTAGCAATCTGTCTCTCAAAGCTACATTCTGTCTTCGAGGAACTCAAGCACAGAGTCGAAACGATTCAAAAACCCATTGAGACAAGGCTCCTTTGGAAAGCCAGTGAAACACGGTGTTGTAGCAAGCGATATTCTTCATAGTTTTTCTTAAACAGCTGTCTGAGTAATCAATCGTTGAGAACATTACTGCGAATTTTGTTCGCAGCAGATATGACATATTGCAATGACTGATACAAACGGTCGCTGAGATTTTTTCTTACTAAATACTGTCTGTGAATCAGGCAGTGAACTGCTAAAATATCTGGTACCACCCTTTTCAAAAGGGCGAAAAACCCACCATGTCGACCCACTATTGCAAGGGATATTTTTGATTAAATCGGATGAGGCTGGATAGTGTAAAACTGTTCTTAAAACTTCCTTCAATTCTTTGCCGATGGTATGACATTTCCCAGATTTAGCAATTAATTTTGATATATTATAAGAACTTATCAAACCATCATCGCATTTTTGTGATTAGGTTGTTAGTAAGCCAGAGGCCAAAGGTGCCTTCAGAAACTTGTCTTTGATGTTCGCGAAAAATGACAAATATTTGTTTTGTTTGTGAGAATGAGTATTTTGCAAATGCTTCTGCTAACGCGAAGGCTCCATTGTTTCATTATATTAAACTTTGTTATAAAATAAATACACGGGTAGTTGAGAATTCGACAGCGATTGAACAAATCTAAACTTCAAGTACGTGGCACTGTATGGAATATACTTCTTTATATTAACCGACATTGTTGGTGGCAGCAAAATACGAATGAAAGAAAATCAACTGTTTTTTTAAATTAATAAATAATTTACGATTAAGAACTAATTCACAAACGTACCTGGACAAATAAACAATGAAATCGAATCGAAACTGGGTAAAAAACTGCTATGAAGCAAACTAAACCATCATAAGAAACGCGGGTCAAATCGAACATTTTTACAAAAAGTACATGCACTTTAATTCTCCTCAAATGGCTTGAATGTCAGAGGCAAAAACTACTGACTCATGCGCTGTGCTGTGGTGATTCGGATCGAAGAATATGTGTTGCATAAGTTCGTTTTACTGCTGGTACTAATGTTGTATCAGATATTCTAAATTTATTATATTAATTTAATCTTTTTTTTCTTTATCATTAATTTTAGATTAATTTTATTTACTAAATGATTCTTAATTTAATAATTTTATTTGGGAGTATTAATATTAAATTTGAATAACATAACCTGCTCATCGCTCCCCTTCCGCCCAAAACGTACCTAACGCCCCCCTGCCGCCCAAAACAAGTCCACCGCCCCTTAGCATACTCCCAACGCCCCCAGGGGGGCGTTATCGCCCCCGTTGAGAAACACTGGTCTTGGGCAATAGAATTATGCCCTTTGATTGCGTTTTTTTAATTGGGTGCATGATATTGAAATTTTGATTATTGTTGATTTATTGATTATTTAGTTTTGTTTTAAAAAGAAAAATGAGCTTTTCATTTGGTGTGAAAATTGAATGCCCAGTGCACGAAGGCAATTAAAAGATTTTAGCTGTAAAATGTGATGTCATTTAGTGTTAATCCATTAAAATAATAAATATTTATTGTGATATATAAAAAATTCAAGTTAAATCGTTATAAAGTTAAGTAAATACAAAATTGAAAAACTTTTATATGTATTTCTTCTATACAAAAAGAAACTTTTTGTTTCTAAATTCTGAAACTGAAATTAAATTCTGTTTCTTGGGTTTAAGGTAGAGATAATAATGTAGTTATGTATGAGCAACTAAGAAATATTTATCACTATTGGCCGAAATTTGGTGAAGGTAGATAAAGCAAAATTGTCCTTGATTTTTTTCTGATGGAACATCTACTGATTCAGATTTCATAATTCTCCGATATTTTTGAAATTTTTTTTTGTCTAATTGTATTAAGTATTTTAGACTTTTTATTTTGGTCTTTTTTTACTGGATTTGTTATTTAAAATTTCAGTACTCGAGTTATTTTATGTAGAAAAAAAATCAGAGCAAAAAAATTACAAGAGACAAGATTTTGCAAAAGTGTGAATTGAGGGACTCTTCACACATTTAATAGTTAGAAAACATTGTAGAAAATATTATGTAATTTAAAAAATCATTCATCTCTTTATCATTTGATTTTTATTGTTCACTAATCTCAGATTTGTTAAATACAATGGCATAATATTTTGCTATAATGATGTATGTGAAGCACATAATAAATTTCTTTTGACAAAACTGTTTAGTTACAATATTTTTTGAATTTTCATTTCAAAATTATTATAACTATTTTTAATCATTTTTTTAAAAAAGCATTAAACCTTGAACGAAATTACAGATTGAAATAATTTAATAGGGTGCCATACAATAATTTATAGTTGTAATATATTTTTTCTTTGTTCGCTTATTGTCTACTCATTTTTATCAATCTGTATGATCAAAAATATTAATTTTATAAATGCTTTTATTTTGTATGACTTTATAAATAATTTTTATTTAATACTGAAAAATACCTCAATATATTTTTTTAAATGCAGGTGTAACTCAGTTATTTTAAATAAAAGTAATTTTTTTTGCATAATTGGAAAAAGTAAATATTAGAAAATAGAATTAATATTAGAATTAGCAACTAATTATATAATAATATATTAAATATAGAATTAACAACTAGAATTAGCAAAATTAGAATCAGCAACTCCATACTGAATATAGTTAAATTAAGGCATAAAACCTAGAAAACTTGAATACCTGAAATTATCAGGAAATTTTTTTATTCTTGAGAAAACCTGGAAAATTTGATAAAATTTAGCAAAAATCTGTTTTTAAGAGAAACTGGAATATTTTTCCTCAATTTTTCTTAATTTTACCAATTATTATACCCACTTTTTTTTAGATGGAAATTTATTGATAAAAATTGTCCAAATATCATCAACTTAGCAATACTTCGTTTGCATCAAAACTTGGTTCATTGTAACCATATTAAACTAAATACGAACACCATCTAAAATTCTTCCATGATTGCTAAATAAATGGTTGAAAACTTTGACCTCTTTGGAGACTATGCAGTTCATAGAAGGCAAAGAATGTGATGGGGGTGAAAAAAGGGGTTAGGATCCTGATTATAAAAGCAGGGATTTTTCTTTTTTGTTATCTAATCTGGGAGCTAAATCCATTTCTTTTCAAGTTCATTCCAATGCTTTTGAGGCATTTTTTTCTTTTGACAAAATGATTCAATATTTTTCTTCAAAAATTATGAGATTATAATTTAAAAACAGTTGATTTTATTTCACACTCTTTTTCTGCAAGCTACTCCCATCCAATGAAATCATTGAATTATTTCTTCTCTGCTGAGCCAACCAATACCAAATCTTTTTAGAATCGCTAACAGCAATCTTTGTAGACCAATCGTTATAATTGTTGCAGTGATGCTAATTTTTTAAATTTCATTTTAACCTTTTAATGCACATTTTAATTTAAAAAAAAGTTCTTTTAAGAACCAACTATGTTTATTACATTTAATTTTACTGTTTTGCGGGTAAATATTTGATTTTTGATACAAAATTCAAATTGAGCAGTCAATCACAATATTGAAAGTTTGTAATTGTTGCTTGCATTCCAGAGATGATATTTTCGAAACTGTTTCTCCCTTTCCACTAAAAAGCAAGCAGAAAACTAAGGAATGTATGGATGACTTATAAATATAGAATTTTTTTTTATTGATATGTGCTTTTTAGGAACAAGGAAAGAAAAAAAAATTTTTTTTTGTTCTGCATTATAGAGAAATAGGTTTCAAGTAATAATAATTAAAAAAAAATCTCCTAAATTAGAAAAATAATAAATTTTATGAATTTTTAGCTTTTTTCTATAGAGTATGCAAAAAGAAATTAGACAATTTTGCATTTGTTACTTTCTTTTTAAGTACTGAATATCTTTGTAAAGAATAGTGCTGATTCTAGACAAACAAAATTATTTAAACATTTGACTTTAGATATTGGAAAGAAGAAAATGTGAAAGAAAATATGATCAAAGAATTTTGTAAAGACAAAATACAGTAAAATGGCTCTATATTTAACTATAAATAAATTGTTAAATTTCAAAGCGGAAATAAATTTAATAATATATCAATGTGTGATTGCCTGGGATTGTAATTATTATCATTATTTTTGCTTAATAAAACAACATTGAACAATACTTGTTCAAGATATTTTGGGTCACCCTGTACTTGCCATTTGGTACCCTTTGTAAAAAAACTAAAGGTAACACATTAAAATATTTTTCGTTCAATAAAAACGATATATTCAAGCTAAACATATTTTCTCCATATCTATATTGATTTTGTAAAAATTAATGTTGTACCAAAACATTAAAAAATTGTAAACGAAATCTTGCTAAGTTGTTAAAATAAATCTAATGATTTTCTTCAATAGTATATTTACAAAAAAAAATTACATTTTAAACAAAATATTTTATTGGCGTTTTTCTTGTCTGTTTAGTACACAATCTACACTTTGTGAGAAAAAAAAAAGAACATGCTGACCTGGAAATTTAAAGATTTTTACCTGGGAAAATCAGGAAAATTTGAAACCTGAGTTGAGGGGCCACTTTGTTTTTTAGAGTAGCTAATGAAATTAAGAATTGCTAAAAAAAAACAAGTTATTTATCATGATTCTGTAAAATCTTTGAAAATAATTTTGCCGGTTGTTAATGCTTAAAATTATTTTTTGGGTGCTTTTAATTTGTTAAAAAATTTAGCTATGCACCCTGGCTGTTCATTTTCTCTTCAACTGTGGGATAAGAAGCAATTAAGAGTTCTTTATCTAATTTTAATAGATCACAGAGAGTTGCATCATTTATTTTTCTTTTATTCCCTTCTAATGTTCATACTGATTTCAATGTTCAATTGCTCAGGAATATGTCATCAGGAGGCCTCTAATTTACACAAACTATATCAGGGATTGCATAAATATAGTATCACGTATGTTACCTTTATCAGTTTCTTTCAATTACAAAAAGTCTGCCTTTAAAAAATTCTTTGTAATTGCTCACAAAATAGTTTATAGTTGTTGCAAACAAACGTCCTTGAAAGGAACTTAATTTGAATACAATGTATACCCTATATTTTAACATTTGCAGTATATTTTGTAAAATTATTTAGATTGATAAAATAATATTACTTATTTCTATGGAAAAATAGTATTACGAATAAAAAAACTATGATTATAATTGAAAATAATTATGATTGCTATTCAGAGTTATTATCTTTATTCATTCAAAATATACTGTAATTTGAAGAGAAAAACTTGAACTTAAGTTTTTATTGTTGATTTTATTTTTCAATCAAAAATTATTTTTTTCTTTTTCAGTGTGAAAAATATAAGGATGCTGACAGAAGCTCATGAATAGCTTCTATGGATTATTTTATAAATTAGGGTAGCTGTGAGGATTTTTATATTATTATTCTATTTTAAGTATTTTAATTTGTATATACACAATTACTACTATTGGTAGAACTGCTCATCCTTGCGAGCTTTGTCTGTATTGTTATTTATGTTTTTGTTACTGTTTTGTTTGAGTATTTCTAAAAAGTGAATGCTTTGGAAATATTATTCACAAAATAGGCTAAACTTGCTCATCAATCAAATCTGAGAGATATAAGTTTTATTTTAAAAAAGTAATATAACATAACAAATATACATAGTAGGATAAATAAACATAGTCTGAGCAGAATTTAGGTATGTTGCTAAATATTAAAATCTTATTAAATAATTACAGATATCTCTATCATAATTTGCAACTTAACCTTTCAAAGCTCTTCTTTTAACGTTTAAAGTCTTTAATTTGTGTGTTAAAATCCTATTTTAGTTGCATCATAAAAATTATTAAATATTTTTTTTTTCAGATTGTTTTTTATTGTACTTTTATTTGTTGAGTATATGACCTTCATTTACTTCATGAAAATTTTAAATGAATTAATCTTTTAGTTAAATATTTTACTCTTAGAAATGGGAGTCATCCTTATTTTTCCTTAACTGACATAAATCATATTAATTTTGATTTAATAAGGCTTTTCTATTGTAGAAATTATAAATGACAATATAATTGTAATTAATTAAGAGATAGATTATTTATTCTGATGTGTGACATTTCATGGCACTTAGCAAAATTTCCTGCTTAAACTTTTTTAAATTGATTTTTTTTGAGTTGAGGATTAATTATTTAAGCAAAAGTTTTGTTATAAAATTTCATCATTACTATTATAATTTAACAATTGCTGTGCATTTAAACAATTTGACTTACGCATTTAGTAATTTTTGATCTGATTTTTATTTATGTGTAAGGGAATCACATGTGTTTTAAACCTATTTTATTACCAGTTTTAGATTTATATAAGCATAAGTAATAAGTTTTTATACAATAATTATTATATGGTTATAATGTGTGGGAAATTACATTCCCTCTTTCATTATATTTTAATTTGCCTTCCTTGAATTTCGGTGAAATGCATTTACTTCTTCATATTAGAAATTACTAATTTCATATACATTTTTGTATGCTATTTATAAGGCATTGTATTAAATCAATGTGTTTCTTAAAATTTAATGATTTTGATTTGAAAAAATTACTTTTTTGGTAATGTTATAAACCCCTGTGTTAAAATTACTTTCTTAGAGTGGAGTGAGTAGAAAGGATGCAGATCAGTAATATGTGCGTAAAACGTGTGCCACAGCACATACTTTTATATTATCAAAATAGATTTCTAAAGAAGTTAAATATTGACTTTTTAAAAAATAAAAATTTTTGAATAGTAAAAAAATAATGAACTTATTAAGTACAAACTATTACTTGAACTGCCTTAATCTTTTGATAAATGCCATGTTTTAGTAAAAACATAGTAATGTGCTTTGTTTGGTAATGAATAAAAGTTATTCAATAAAAAAATATTACCCATATTTTAGATTTATCCTGTAATGGTACAAGGTAATCAGAATTTTTATCTGATGAATAATGTTTTTAATAAATTTCGGACATATTTAAGCTATGTAGAGATTCAATCAGAAATTGAAATAATGACCAACTTTAAAAATTCTTATAAGAATAAAAATTTCAAAATTTATGAATAAAAAAATTAGAATATATTTCTGCTTGCTATAGTGCTTTTGTAAAAAAAAAAATTATTATATTTTATATTATGTCGGCATGCATTCCAACTTTAGCAGTGTCATTTTTTTTTACTAACTTTTTATATCGTTTGTAAATAATTTTATAAAGCATTTACCTTTTTATTTTTATAATTTTAACTTGCCTTAAGTTGTAATCACTTTTCTCTGTTAATTGATTTGCTTTTCTTTGTGATATAAACTGTTCCACAATTTAATACGATTAACTGATGATTATGTATACTTGTTACTTTACACATTTTAATTATGTTTTCTTAATTAGATATAAAAAATGTGTTGGACCAATTTTTGATTATTATTGTTTTTGAAAGAAGCATATATTTCAATCGACTTTTATGTTTTAATATTAAGTGCATATTTAGTAAATGCATAATTAGTCATTTTGTTATATTTGTATACCTTTTTTAGGTTTTAAATAAAAGTTATTATGCAGTACTTCTACACATTGTCTTTAGTTTTCACTTTTAGGTTACAATTACACAATTTAATACGTAATATAGGTAAATGTTCAATAAATCGTATTTGTGAAATGTATTTATTTTTCAGCTGCCTTTTCTTGTCATAGATAGTGGCATAGCGATATTTTCAGTTTTATAAATCACATGCCCGTGCAGAGTTAGTCTGTGTTGAAACATGTTGTTATAATTAGCTGTTATTCTCTTTTAGAAATATGTCTAAATAAAAGTAGTAATAAAGATTTAGTTAAAAGATTTGAAAAATAGATAATTTTATCAAAAATGAGTAGGACTAATGTTGCATCATTTTTACCAAAAGTTTATATTATAATAAGTAATGTTGTAAAAATGCATAAATCATAAATAAAAGAGTTTGAGTTGCAGACTGCCATTTCAAAACTATAAGCAATATTCTATGTCAGTGATCAAACATAGAATTAACTGAAAATACATGGATAGCAGAAAAGGTTTGATAGTTTGTTTTTATATTATTTTATTACTACCACAGACAACACAACTTTTGAATATTGCTATGGTTTAGAAAAAAATATTTATCTACGATTACATATTGATAGACAGAATATTTAAATGCAAGGCAAATAATGTGTGGAAAAATGATGTAATGAACAATTTTTAAAAAACTTGAATCCCGTTCAAATCTGGAAACTTCAGTGCTTCTATTTTCCTCATAAAATGTCTCGCAAATTATTTCAAACATCAGTTCATTATGTTTTCATACATTGTATGTGCACAATTTTTGATTAAAAATTTTTAGTGCCTAATTTGCGATACCTGGTCTAGAGTCCCAATGTACTAAAAATATTACAATGCATACAAAAGATTAGTGAGATAAGGATGCAAAACTGAAGTTAACATGATACAACTGATAAATTATACTGACAAAGGGAAAAGATTCTAAAAAATAGAAAATGGCCAAGATAATTTTTTGTGGAATAATTAGTGCAACTTTTATTTTATTTTTACTCCAGCTTTCATTTTATGTGATTTTAAATGAGGTATAATTGTTTTTCTGCTCCTAAAAAAAAAGTGCAAAATGTATAAAAGCTTTATCTAAAACACTATTCAAAAATTTTTTTAAAATTAATTATGAAAACAAAAAAAAGTCTCATTCTATTAAGAGACAAATGCTTAAGTTTTCTTATTTCTCTTCCATCAAATTTTTTAAAAGAATATACCAAATTTATAAATGTTCTTTAAAAAGAATATAATGTTTTTTAATAGTTTCAACTTGTTAAAATATAAAAAGTAACTTCAAATAAGAATACATATTAATATATAAGTGATTATATAATAAATATATCTATTAACAACCTAGTAGAAAATGAAAATTTAAAAAATTTTGTTATTTATTGCTTTTCTTTATTTACTATATAAATTATATTATTGATTTCTCAGATAAAGGAAATAAAACTACAGAAATGTACAATGTGTTTTATTACTATAAGGATGAAACGTAATTTACAAATGAATAATAAATTTTCAATGACAACCACTTCTATATTAGCAACATAGAAGATCGTCTGGAATCAAAACATTCAAGTTATCCTATAATAAAGAGAGAAAATAGTTTAAGATGATGAAAGAAATGTAAAACAGGTTGTATTTATTTATCAGTACAATTAATTTGAGCTTAATCTATCAAAAATCTTTATTTTATTGCTGTACATTTATTACAGTTAATAAAAAATCTTGGTTCAAAGAAGAGGGATCACTATTCCTACACTTTTATTATTTTAAAAAAGTCAAGTTTTCAGTGGTAAGCAGTCTCTTTCCTTTCCCCTAAAAATGCCTTAAAAAAAGGTGCAATAAGAAATTAATAACTGAACAAACATTAAATTTTCCTGGAGAGGTTTTTTCTTTTTCCTAATTTTTATTATTATTATTTTTGGCTTTTACAGGAATCAATGTTATACAGTACACATTGTATGCATACATTGTCACATGCTTATATACATTTGATTTCCTGACAATTATCATTTTAATTATTTTCAAGTAACAGTAAATGTTATTAGGTTTCAAGTAAATTTTCTTATAAGGTACATCTAAGATAAAGTTAGGGCTAGAGTTTAATAGTTGGATGTCGTGCAAATTGGGAATGAAATTTTTTTTATATGTAACTTGTCGCTTTGGCCATGACTATTTCTCTGATGACGCTTTTTGTGGAGCATGGGTGCAAGGTTGTGCACTGGCATTGTTATACTGTAAAACAAAAACAAATTATAAAAAAAGTAAGATGTTATTGATACAATAAGATGTAACCAAGCAAAAAAATAAATATAATTTTATTAAAAATTAAATAATTTTAAGCTAGGTAATTTTAAATGACATATTTTTGACAAATGCAGTTGAGTAGTTAACTGATAAATTACCAAAAGGAAGTGCAATTATCTTTGTATTAACAAAATTTTATAGCTGTCTGCAAAATGTTTTTTATTCGCTAAAAAGCTCTCGAAATGTAGCAAAATATGTAAAAAGTGAAAGAAATTATCAGTAAAGAGCTTAATTTTTCCGATTTCAGATACCTCCCCATATCTTGATGGTAGAGAACTCAAATCTATTGAAAAAAATCATTTTTATGTCTGAATTAGTAACTTAAGAAATTGATTTTTATATCTGATTTTGTTACTTAGTTATTACTGATAATTTGCATATTAGAGGTCATAACTTCAAATGATTAAGTTTGGCAGTATTAAAAATCTGATCATTAGTAAAAATAATCTATATAGATCAACCATCCATTGGGGACTGAAATTATCAATCCTAAAATCCATAGCTTTCTTGAAAGATTTAACAGACTCGGTTAAGCAAAAAATTACTAACATAAAATTTTCAAGCTTATGTTCACTTGTTTTACCTGAACTGGGTTTAGTCATTTACTTGTAAATGACTAAATTGTTTACTAGGAGTTATTGTAAAATCTTGAGTGATAAATATTTTACTGTTTTAATATAATGATGGCATTTCTTATAGTTGCTATAAAAGATTTTTCCCAGTGTTAGCAAAATTTATTCTTTAGTATTTAATTAATTTTAATTGGAAAAATTTTGTCCTTAAGTGCTAACAAAACGTTAAAAAAAATTATGCCTACAAAAGGTTTTGCTATATAACTTCACGAACACAAAAGTTGGTTGAAAATATATTCAATGTCATAAAAACCAAGCTTTTGAAGTTAAATAATAAAATTGGACAGATATAATTTAATATGACAATTTAAATAATGAAGTACTTCATTGCTTAAATAAATTTTTTGAAATATTTTTCCCATGTAAATTGTATTTAATTTATTTTTAGGTAATAATCTACAGTTTGTCAATTGAATTTTTACAGCCAGTTTTCTTACGAGTCAGGCAGGTTGGATACTTGACATTTTGATTTTGTTAAAATTTTTAGGATATTTGAATAAATTATTTTTTCAACGTGCTTGGGAGCCAAAGCTGAAGATCTTCAGGAATTATAAGAAAAACACATCTATTTACATGTGGCAATACTTTTTAGGAAACAAGTGAATCGTGGCACTGACCGTTATTTTAATGTCAATGTGCGTGATGTCAGTGCCAAAGTTTTGGGCATTGACTGCTTACCACACTAACTATTAAGACATATATACTTTCAGTGAATCTATGCATCAAAGGTCATTCAAAAACCTTAGAATGGTCAATTGGTGCTTTAGGCCCAATATGAATATTTCAATTTAACTCCCTCTAACGAGGTGAGGTTTAGTCTCTATCTGGAATTTACCGAGGGAGTGCGGGTAAAAAATATATTACCGATGTAATTTTTTACACTGAAATCCCCCCCAAAGCAATATATCTAGTATTTAAGAAGTTATTTAAGTTTTAAATAAATAGAGAAAAATTTCTGACTCGTACATATTTATGCACATGACAGTGCTATATCTGGAAAAGTGAGCTATTGATCCCAAGGTATTTTTTAAACAATTGGTAGGAACACTCCAGTTTTTTAAAGGTTTAAAAATTATAAAAGATTCGTGAAAAAAAATACAATTCCCCACTTTTTTGCATTTACCAACTTAAAAGTTTTATACTGTTAGTGAATTAAAGAGTTCCTATCGGTTATAGATTTCTCCCCACAAGATATAACACATATTTCTAAAGAAAATTAGCTAATAAAAATTTTGAAGGAATGCATTATTGTAGACACCTGATATTAATTGCTGAAACAGGAAAAATAAATATTAAAAAAAAAAAGAAATTTACTTACATTGTAAAAGAACTTATTCTTGTCAGAAATCTTTACATATCGCTGCAAAGCTTCTTGTATTTCCAACACAGTAATAGCATCTTTGCTATCCTGTTAGAAACAATTTATAGAGAAAGAGTTGAAAAATTAGTAATATAACTTGCGAATTTCAGTTTATTTTTAAAATTATATTTTTATTAGTAATTTTAAATAATAAGTACATTTTTTTAAAGTAATTTAAATTTTTTCTTTTAGTAAATTATAGCTCTTAAAAATTATAGTTATTTTGGTGTCTTAATTTTTATTAAAAATAAATTTACAGATTTTTAAAAAGAAATCTTTGCAGTTTCCTCACAATTTGATAATTTTTTTTTTAAAAATTAAAAAAAAAACATAGGAAAAATAAAGTGCAGATGTAGTAATAATCTGCGATACCTGCTGCCGTGCATAAGAGGAAGCTGATGTCAAGTTTTTGAAGGTTCTTGCACTAATTAAAACAGTTACATTGTTTGCAATTAAAAATGCACTAAATATTTTTTGCACTTGGTTCTCTCATAAGCACTTCATTGCATCTTTCAATTACAATATATTTAAATTAAATTATATAAATAGCTTAGTAAGAAAATTTATTACATTTTCAATATAATACTTACATTGGTAGAGCATTTTTCTTCCACATTTGAATCACTTTCTTTCATTTCAATTGATTCTTGTGCTGATGGAATGTGAACAGTCTGAGAAATTTTATCTTCTCTCAGC